CTCTCAAGTCACGGGATCTCCCTGAGAGAAAACCCATTCATAGCATTGTGAAAATTCAGGGTCTGTGCAACAGAGATGTGGTTCAGCTGAAGGATACCGAGAACACTATGGACGGAGCAATTATGCAACGAAGGAAAATGGAATAAAAAAGAACACTTAGAATCAGAAAGCGACAGTTGTAATTTCTAGGACGCATAATGAGGAAAGAGGGAAACAGCGAATGACTTACCTAATGAGCTTGGTAGAACAAGGAACAGAAGGGACAATAAAAAAAGAGGTTGAAAGAGAATAGGAAGTTGTGGAAAGCCATGACCACCTAAGTCCTTTAGGGACACAGCACATAGAAAAAGTTCTAAAGAGCGCGAACGAGTTCAATGAATGGATTTGAAATTCAGATATATCATTATTGAGGTAAAGAAGGATGGATAAAATGGTGGCAGTGGTGGGTGGCTTTATATCCCCCCTCCCCCCAAAAATAGAAGACTACTTTATTTCACTGTTTAATAAAAGAATAAAAATCAAAACACAGCTAGCAACTCAAATACGTGTACCCACTAAAATAATGTCGGATAAAAAATCATTTTCAAAAATTGTCTATGTTAGTGGCACGAAAAACTGAAGCTAGCAGATAAAGATTCGTAGGTGTAATGACAAGAAAAAAAATAAACGAACAGGTAATTCTTTTGTGGTCAGGTATTGAACTCAAATCTCTATTGGGTCAAATCAATGGATTACTTCAACCAACGCTTTTATCCACTATTTAGTCTATGTAGCACAAAGGCGAACGGTAGCTTGGAGATTTGGGTTACTAAAAGGAAATAACTGAAACTACCCAGAAAAGGCATGACACGTGGAACTAGAATAATCTACCCTTACAATTACAACGTATATCACCTGAAGAAGGCCGGAGCGTACAACTTTATTAAACTAGGAATATCACATATACCGTAATTCCACCTGTATAATACGCACTTTTTTCTAAAAAAAAATAAGAAGAAAAATCTTAGGACGTATTATGCACAACTACGAAAAAATCTTTAAAAACATTGCCGTAAAATAAAATAAGAATTATCATAAAACTAAATTAGAATACTATTTTTCTATTTTTAAAACCATTTTTTTAAAAAAAAGAGTAGAAAACGTCGGTGTAATCAAATTGGAGAGATACAATTTATAGGGCTTGATTACCATACAAAGGCTAATAAGTCGAGTATTTTGAATTTTGCCTTCTACTAAATCAACCATTTCCGTTTAAAATGTTGCTCTAAATTTACTCGGGTTTTTTCCCTCCATTCATTTGACGACATGCTTCCAAGATGCTCGTCATAATCATAACATATTTCTTTACCACCTGACATGTTTTCATCCGCAAGCATTTCCTCTTGATACGTTTTTCTATCGTCATTTAGGTCATCAAACACCAACATCCTTCACTGTCTCATCGTTAGCGCCCCGTCCATAAGACCTGGTTTCGAATAACACCATAGGCGATTTGTATAATTTCGGCCTGGGTTGACGATTTCAAATGCCTGAAAACAATAGTATTTGCTGCTCCTAAGCCATGTAGGTGTACAAAACAGTTTCGATGCTGTCGATGGTTGTGTGAGTGTATCGGGCGTACAGGCCATGTTCAGCTACTCATCCCGCTAGTAACTAAGGTCCGTTCGACATAGAAGAGGTTAGCTCTGAGTGTGTCACGGGCGTCTGCAACAGGTATTATGTGCCCCCTCCACCTTAGCATTACTCTGAAACGACCAGCCAATCATTATGTACTTTAATCGACTTATACTTGTCGTTTTTTATTGCAATTATCATGTTGATTATATATGACTGCTTAAGTAGCATTAAGCGAATAGAAAGACGTAAACATCCGGTGAAATTTGAACACGCATCTCTTCCCTGTCCTGACAGTGCCTTCATTCATTTACTCAGTGCATTTTGCACCTCTGTGGTTACCACTCCCCTTATTTCTCTTGCAATTGTGGTTCATATTGACATTCAAGGGGAAACAGTACAATGGCTTGCACCGGAGATGATGAGGTTACCCAGTCCCTCCAGTTAGAAGTTCCTCCGCCCACTTGTAAAGCCATTGACCTCCGAGGGTTCTACGCCCAGGCTAGCGACTGTCTGATGGTTGCTTGGTACGGGAGAGGTGTTTCCTTTCACCGGTCGAGTCTGCAAACACTTCCCACTACCCTCATACTGTTTAGCGGGCAGGTCGATGCCGTTGATTGTATCCGTACCTATGCGACTTCGTAGAGCCATGTGTGAGAGTTGGATGTCGGCCCTGGACCAGTACAGTTCCGCCATCCAATTCACCCGAGTAAAGCAGTGTCGACCGCTTCGTTGCAAATACACCTATAAACACACGCACACACGCACACACACACACACACACACACACACACACACACACACACATATATATATATATATATATATATATATATATATGACTCGATGAATTAATTAAATATAATTATCAAATCCTCCTAATAATTACTATCTGCGTTTATCATCGCTTGAACCGACTTCTAATGCTCTAGAGTGAGCGGCTTGGTGAGAGTAGTCGTGGCTCCAGGGGGCACAGTCCTATGGTTACAGAGAACGCAGTATGGTTCCACCACGGAATATGTGAGCGAGCGGCGCTATGTTGAGTCTGTTTTGCAATCTCTTCCATACTGAGACCCATTGGAACAGTTGGTATGATGTTTGCTTGATAACCTACCTGTCAGGGTTTCAATTCTCGGTAGTGGATGCGCACTGCTGATGAGTCCCAAATATAGGACGAAACGGCCGTACAATGCTTTTTTGCATTCTGTTGAGGTTTCTATCAGACTCGATGAATTAATTAAATATATATATATGTATATATATATTACACTGGATATCGGAATAACAATTTCGCCATCGAATGTACCTTAGCGATTTTTATATTTCGACATAAAACCCAACTTTTTAATTATCTAATCAACAACGCCAAGTTGCTTTACCTATAATACTTGTATTAGACTTAATAGTTTTGAATTTCATCCCGGAAACATTGTTACTTATTTAGGTTCACTGTGTCGTGCGCGACAGTTTTTCTCTCCGAAATCTATCTTACATATCTATTAGTCTATCATTCGTCCATGCTTAGAATATTGATGCTGCACATGGTGAGGTGTCCCTGCTATTTTCCTTGAGCTCCTTGATAAAAACCTTTGCCTTTTCTATAAATACTTTCATGGTAATTTTTCGGATGAGCTCTTTGGTATGGTCTCTAGACTCTTCGAATTTAAGCGCAGTACTGGACTGGTGATAAGGTTTCACCAATTTATAGTTGAGCTGGCTAGATGTAATCATAAATTCTATGCTAACAGTTTCTTTTCTTGCAAATCTTGCTTGTGGAACTCCTTTCTGGCTTCATGCTTTCCAGACAACTTTAATGTCCAAAAATGTTTAAATGTAATGTCGATCGCTATCCCTTTTCACTCATTAGTAATCTTTCTGTGTCTAATTCTTCCATGCCCAGTAACCTTTTGTGTCTTAGTGGCTTCATTGATTTGCTTGGGGCGAAATCGATTAAAAAGAATTTTTTTTCACTAGTTTCTAATTTCTCTTGTAGCATTAAATGCCATAGTTTGAATTTCTTAAATGAAACCCTGTCAATTATTACAAATTCCTGATTAGTTGTTCTTACATCTTATTTCTGTTGCCCTACATTTCCCTAGTAGTATATAATTAGATGTTTGAATTTCTTTGATGAGGCGTTGTTAATTATTATTAATTATCGGAAGTATTTCTTTCATATTATTTCTCTTGTTCTTTATGACACTAATAGTATTAGATGCAACAGTCTATGAATTTCCTTAGATGAAGAATTGTTAATTATTATTACTTGTGATTAGTATTTCTTTCATATTATTTCTCTTGTTCTTTATGACACTAATAGTATTACATGCAACAGTCTTAGAATTTCTTAGATGAAGCATTGATAATTATTATTAATTTTGGACTATTTATTTCATCTTATTTGTATAGTTCTTTATGGCACTAATAGTATTAGATGCAATAGTGTAAGAATTGCTTAGATGAACAGTTATTAGTATTACATGTGATTAGTATTTCTTTCATCATTTTCCTTGTCCTCTATTACACTAGCAGTCTAGATGTAACAATCTATGAATTTCTTAGTATTGTGAATTATTATTAATTTCTGACTAGTATTTCTTTCATCTAACTTCTCTTGGCCTTTGTCACACTAGAAATATTAAATGTAACAGTTCTAGAATTAACAGTCTTAGTCTATAAATTTCTTAGATGAAGCATTAATAATTAATATTCATTTTCGGACTGTTTCTTTTACGTTATTTCTCTTGCTTTTTATTAGTCTAGTAGTATTAGATGTAATAGCCTATGAATTTCTTAGATGAAGCATTGATAATTAGTATTAATTTTCGGACTATTTCTTTCATGTTTGTTCTCTTGCTTTTTATTTGTCTAGTAGTATTAGATGTTATAGCCTATGAATTTCTTAATTGAAGCATTGTCAATTATTATTCATTTTTGACGAGTATTTCATTCATCTTATTTCTTTTGCCATTTAATCACACTAATAGTACTAGATGTAAAAGTCCATGAATTTCTTAGAGGAAACATTGTCAATTATTATCAGTTTTTGAGTAAGATAAAAGCATTTGTAGTTTGAATAACGATACATATGTTCTAAAATAAGAAACTCGTTATGCCCTAAATAAATGTATTTATGTGTTTTAACAACATTGTAAAAAGGAAATCAAGTGGTTTTTTGGCTGACCAAAAATGCAAATTTTTTTAAATGGCGTCACGTCAACGGAGGTCGACAGAAGTGCAGAAATAATGAAAAGTGCAGTTTCAAATGGTGCGAATGTTTCAATGAAAACAAATGTTATTTACATGTGAATCCCTTTTGGAATGTCGTCCTGCGCGAACGGAAAGGCCCGTAGAAGTGACGAATTCCCCCCAGGAAAATAGTCGGGATGAGACGGAAAACTGTTTTCTCATATCAGTCACTACAATACGTGACACTCTGTTATTATTATTATTATTATTATTATTATTATTATTATTATTCGCTTAAATGTTGCCGACGGCGTCCTCATAATATTATGATTAATTTCTAATACTAATTATCATTAAACATATTTGTTTTTATTATTAAAGTATCGTCACTGTTACATGTTGGAGAGGAATACAAACAGGTCAAGAGAAAGAACCCTGTAATTAACAGTTAGTAGACTTTGAGATCTTCCTTGAACCGACACATTTTTGTCGATACATAATTAATAAAAATACTCAGATTGTGGTCGTTGATTTAATCTACGAGTTAGAGTATTGTGCTGGCAAAAATTGCGCTACGATGAGCTGTTTTTTTTTTTTTACATTAAAACAAATATACAGAACTCGGATGATTATAGTAATGATTATTCTTACTTGAATTTTCATACAAGTCATAGAATTCTACAACACCTTTCTCAATATCCTCGCAGATACTGAATTGTTATGAGTAGCGCCGACTCATCCTCGAATAGATTCTTCTATCTTGACTATAGTGTTTTTGGCATAGTTCCATGCAAGCGCGCCAATTCAAATGGGCACAGCCCTATTGTTTATGTTCCACAGGTTATTGAGATCTTGGGCGAAGTCCTGGCATTGTATTTTCTTCATTTGCTTTTGTCTAATGTACACACGCATATCAATAAACAACCTTTCGATGTTTATAACGATTACAATCTTCTTCAATGGTCGATATGGATTTCAAAATTCCAGAATAATTTTTGATTTTGTAGGACAGCTTCTAGTTTGTCCTTATAATATTCGATCAGCTGCCAGACCAAAGTCATTTAATCGATTGATTCGTTTTTTATGACTTATCAACCCATTGCAGGTTATATAAAGCCCGAGAATATTTTTATATTCTAAGATTTTTTTTGAGATAATAATGAGTTAGTGATACAAATCTTATTAATTAGCCCATATCTGAGGTGGGGAGAAGAAGATTCATACATTTCCCAAGGGTATTTACGCGTAAGTGACTCGAACCCAATTAAAATTGGAACTTGACTCTCCGATTACACAATTCTGAGCACATCCAAGCTTATAGTACCTGGTATTCCCAGGCACTCAATCATTTAGGTACCGGTCCGGATCGGCATTGCTTAACTTCATTGATCGTAGAGAATCCGGTGTTTCAACTTGATACGGCCGTAAGCGCCAAAGTCATTTGCTCAGTTCTTTGTGTATTACTGTTCCTACCCTAACATATTAAGTTAATTGAAATCTATCTATCTATCTATCTATCTATCTATCTATCTATCTATCTATCTATCTATCTATCTATCTGTGCGTGTTCATATACAGAGTGCTTTGGGTAAATAGTCGCAATTTTATATTTTTAATTTCGCGCATGTTTGTTTTTGATTTTGTTGATTGGTCTGTTAGGCACCATCTATGAAAATGGAGCACCCTAACGCAATTCACTCTGCCAGACATCTGGAAACAGCATTCAGTACTGCTTGAAAACTTCAATACGAACATTTAAATGTTTTGATGTCAATCTGAGGATGGTGCAGAGAATTCGGGAAGAGCTGGATGAGTCTAATGGTGATTACGAAGGTACGGGAGCTCGGAAAACTTATTCTGATCGTTCTGATAAGAAAAGAACACTCGAATTTATTGGTAGGGACATCAGACACAACACGGAGGCCTACATCAAGTGCCTTGAGGAGGTAGTGCTTCCTTGGGTCAAGAGGGTGGCTACTGGAAGACCCTATGTCTAGCAACAAGACACTGCATCATGCCACACCCAAATGGAGAACACAGTCATGGCTGTCAGACAACTTCTGCGACCACATCACCCCTGACATCTGGCCACCTAATTCCCCAGACCCCTTGATTATTACGTGTGGGGCGCAGTTGAGTGGGAGACCAGCAAAACTCATTGCAGCACTAAAGATGAACTGAAGGCAAGGATTATGGCAGCATTCCCCAACTTAAACAAGAAGGCCGTCTAGAAGAGTTGCAGGAGATTCCGAAGTCGTCTGGAGGTCGTAGTTGAAGCCAGTGGCGATTTTATTGAATAAATTACTTTTTAGTATTTCAAGATATTTTTGTGTAATTTTGGTAAATATATCTGTTTAAATAACATAGTGTTATTTTCATTTTTGCATAATTTAGACGAAAATTTATCCATCGCATCCTGTATATCTATCTAGCTAATCATCTGTCGAAATGTTTGCTATAACTTTCCAGCTAACCCCTCTCACTAATCAATATAATTTCTGTTCCATTTGTTTTTCTACAGCTTATCAACCCTTTGCAGGTTATTTAAAGGCATACTTTTTCTTAGATCGAACGATTTTTTTATAATAATGGTTTAGTGATACACATTTTACTAATTAACCCATAGCTGGGGAAGGAAAAGAGATAGCTTCATACCTTTTCCAAGGGTATTAGTGCGTAAGTGAATATAACGAACCCAACGGGAATTGGAACTCGGCTCTCTGGATTAATAATCCCGATCCATTGTCTATTACACCACCTGCAGATCCAAGCTTACAACATCTGGTATTCACAAGTGGTCACCCATCTACGTGCCAACCAGACTTGACATTGCTTAACTTCGGTGATCGTACGGGAACCAATATTTCAACGTGATGTGGGCCGTATTCATTTTGTTCTTTTGCTATTGCATTTGTTATCTATTGGGCACCAGTCAACCAACTTCTTGCTCCATCTATTATCCTTTCTTCTTACTGTTTAACTTGCCGGTCTCTAATTCGGTTGATTAATCACGTCTAGGATATCTCTTGTCTTGATCTTTTATTTTTATCCATGTTGAACTCCTTTTCCCTTGATCTTTCCGATCAAGTTTGTTTACCGGAAATTTGGTCAATTTCTATGTTTGGAATCATATGTCAAAGCGTGCATTATACATACAGTATAACCTTTGTGTTTCACGCGTATTGACAAGTTGCTTTTAATTATATATCTATTTTAGATACCTCCACTTTTTCGCGAAAAAAAGCATAGCATGATAAAAAAGGCTCTAAACTCAATAAAAACAAAGTTTTGTCATCAAAATGTTATTATTACGAGGAAAGATCAAAATATTTTTTATTATGTTTTGAATATTTTTAATCTTTTCTAGCACGTTTCAAGTTTTGTTTAAAAATCTTGTTTTGTTTACGTCAGCGACTGGCGTAATAATTACGATTAGCCATTTTTGCGCTTTTTTCGGTGAAAAACACATTGATTTGGAAATTCTTGCAAAAAACAAATCATTGTCGGATTTTAGTGAAATTTTCAGGACATATTCAGAAATAAATGAAATTATTTTTTTAATTTTTTTTTAGAAAATCTTAGTAAAAAATATATATTTTTTTATATGTCACAACCCACTTAATTTCACGCAATTTCGAGAAATTCAATTTTTAGGGCGGGGATTTTTTATTAGTTAAAAGCAGGACTCCTTGGAGAATCTAAATTATCAATTATTTTTTTTTTTAAAAAACATTAACTCATTCATGGAAAATCTGCTCTGAGTTGTAAAATAATAAATTTAATAAAACTATGAGATTATTCAACGAGAAAAACTTTTAATTGCTGTTAGAAATAAAATTTATTAAGGACACTATTGTCTTAAGAAGAAAAAAAATTTCTGCCTAACCAATAAAAATTGACTAATTTTTGATTCCATCCGCCATATTTTCTTGTTCTTTTTTGTCTTGAAATCACTTGATTGTATCCCTTCTTGTGTGAACACCATTCTTGATATATATTGCTTGATTATTATTATTCTTCTACCCTGCACTTTTTTTATTGTTTATTTAGAACTTAGTCAAATTCCTTTGTTGGGAATAACACTTAACTATGGCCAATTACTCCATACTATCGTCATACTTTATTCTTCTGGTTTTTCTTTAATGTTATCTGTCCAAAGCCTAAGTATTCTCCAGTTGGTTTTTATATACTATGATTTACCTAATACAAGGCCTAAGATCCACTCAAGGTAGTATATTACTAAATGAGGCTGTTGCAAGAGTGTACAAGGAGGAAATAATTCGTTCCATAATGTAACAGTTGTGAGGAAGAAGCTTTCCGAATCGAACTTCCTCCTAACCAATGGAATACAAAGGCAATGAGGATGATTCGACTCAGTGTACGTGGAATGGCAAGTCCTAGCTGTTAAGATCTGGACTAGTGGAACTAAGAAATATGATTTGCCGGAAGATCAGCAATGATAGAGTAGAGAGAGGCCCGCAATGTTTCGTCTGTGGCAAGATGATTGTAAGATGGAAAATCATTCAGCACCTACAAGTCTACGTTAATTATTTTGAAGTCAGTTAAAACTCTAAAGTGAAGATTGGGTAACTTGAGCCCAGATATGACAGCAAGACTTTATTTTTGTTCTGATCTTACTAACTTTCTGATTTTTTTTCTGAACATGAATGTTTTTTTTAAAACTTCTGTTATATTTAAAATCTGCCCCGAGAATTTCCTTATTGAGGTCATTTAACATTTCTTGTAATTCATCCGGTGATTTTGTAAAATGTCGTCAGCGGTTCGTAGGTGGTTAGAATAGCTTCCGGTTATTTTTAGTCCCATCCCTTTGCAGTTCATTTCCCGGAAGATATTTTCAATGCCTTGCCGTAAATAATTCAGTAGAAATTCTGTCTCCTTCTCACTCTTTTTCCAATCATTGTTTTCTTTGTCTGCCCATAGTCCAATTATTGAGCAGCTTTTGCTATTTTTATTTTTCACATTTCAAAAACAATTTGGGTATAATTTTGGTGTTGAGATTAAGTAAATTCTTTTCAGACGCATTATTTATGGAGATTAGTGGTAATACAAAGGCGGTTACGATAGAGGTAATACAATGGAGATTATAGTAAATAAAAGGGCGATTATAGTGAAGGGAATACACTGGAGGGAATATAAGGGCGGTTATGACGGAGGTAATACAATGGAGGTTATAGATAATACAAAGGCAATTACAATGGAGGTAATGAAATGGAGGTTATAGGTAATAAAAGGGCGGTTATATTAAAGGTAATACGCTGGAGGTAATATAAGGGCGGTTACGACAGAGGTAATACAATGGAGGTTATAGATAATACAAGAGCAATTACAATGGAGGTATTAAATGGAGCTTATAGGTAATAAAAGGGCGGTTATATTAAAGGTAATACGCTGGAGGTAATATAAGGGCGGTTACGACAGAGGTAATACAATGGAGGTTATAGATAATACAAAGGCAATTACAATGGATGTAATAAAATGGAGATTATAGGTAATAAAAGGGCGGTTATATTAAAGGTAATACGCTGGAGGTAATATAAGGGCGGTTACGACAGAGGTAATACAATGGAGGTTATAGATAATACAAAAAACAATTACAATGGATGTAATAAAATGGAGATTATAGGTAATAAAAGGGCGGTTATATTAAAGGTAATACGCTGGAGGTAATATAAGGGCGGTTACGACAGAGGTAATACAATGGAGATTATAGATAATACAAGGGCAATTACAATGGAGGTATTAAATGGAGGTTATAGGTAATAAAAGGGCGGTTATATTAAAGGTAATGCGCTGGAGGTAATATAAGGGCGGTTACGACAGAGGTAATACAATGGAGGTTATAGATAATACAAGGGCAATTACAATGGAGGTATTAAATAGAGGTTATAGGTAATAAAAGGGCGGTTATATTAAAGGTAATGCGCTGGAGGTAATATAAGGGCGGTTACGACAGAGGTAATACAATGGAGGTTATAGATAATACAAGGGCAATTACAATGGAGGTATTAACTAGAGGTTATAGGTAATAAAAGGGCGGTTATATTGAAGGTAATGCGCTGGAGGTAATATAAGGGCGGTTACAACAGAGGTGATACAGTGGATTTTATGGTTAATACAAAGGCGGTAACAATGGCGATAATACAATGGAGGTTACAGATGTTTATTATGGCGGTTACAGTGGAGGTAATACACTGCATGTTATAGGTAATACAATGTACTCTTTTATTGTGTTGTCCTTATATATATATATATATATATATATATATATATATATATGTATGGTGGACTTTTTCCATACGCGTTAGCGTGTTAAAATCCTCACAATATTGTTGAATTTATCGCTAACATATTTTGTCGAGATTTACAATATTACGTTTCGTTCAATTTCACAAACCAATCGATGAAATTTGGAAAAGCTGATTTGTTTGGAAAAATACTTTGACAAAAAAAAAACCCTATTAATTTTAATAATTTCTTTGATTTACTTTAATTTCATAGGACTACATGGTAAACGATATTTTTTAAGAAAATTTCTTTTCTTTTTTTTCTTTTTAACAGCGAAGAATACATACTTAGGATTTCTTACTCTTGAGCATGCAACATATAACCGTCCGTGCGTAAATATTTCTTTCTGGAGCCAAATTCCTACTTTTTGAAGCGTTTTCCCTTTTGATTTGTTTATAGTTCTCATAAACACAGACCGAAATGAAAACTGGATTCTTGTCCATTTGAAAGGATATTCGGATGGTTTAGGAATAAACTTTATTCTTGGGATTAATATCACCCGTCCTGTTCCAAACACGGTACATTGTAATAGTCAATAAGTTTTTCGAACGTAAGAGTTGTTCTACTACATCGGCCTTCCCGTGGATTTATATTGGGCAGTAGTAAGAATAGTATTCCTAGTTTCAACAATAGGTTGTGTCTTGGAAATCTGTTTGGTACTAATGTATTCAAATATCTCAACATTGCATTAGTGAGGTTATCTTCACTCCTTAACTTCCTCAAATTCTTCATTTCAGCCATACATTGTATCGTTTCTAACTCTACTATTCTTGAAACCCTCAGCCCCTTGGAAACTCTCACTACTGTGTTTATAGTTACAATGATATTACTGTGCCTTATATTTTATCAGAATGAAATATATATAAAAACTTAAATAAAAGATATGCAAAAAATAATATTGCATTTTTATTAAAGAATTTGTTATTTTGACCATTAAATTGTTTTTAAAATAGTGGGAGTATTTTGTATGTTAAGTAATAAAACTTTTAATTTTTCAAAAAACAATTATTGTAGTAATTAACGCATCCTAGTAAAACCAATTGTACCTTGTTACCTACTCACCTGTTTGAACTTCTCTCCAGAGTTTGGTTTCGATCGGTGGCTATTTTAGAGGGTGGGATGGATGTATGGGCGAACGGAAGTTACAGAATTTTATATATAGAAGATTTTTTACTTTATCGATTTTTTTTCACACGTTTATTATATTACCTCAAGACTCCATAACGCATATAATTGAATGAAATTTAAATAATCTCGATATAAAAATGGCCAGAAATCTTTATTCGCCGATTCCCTCAACTACAACGCAAAAAAAAAAAAAAAAAAAATAGCGTTCGGTTCGAAACCAAGAAAAGTTGATTAAGAATCGTAATCGTCTTTCATTGTCTGTTATTAAATTCAATAACTTCACGCACAGACACACACACATGTATAGATAAATGGATATACAAATGTGAGCGGAGAGAAATTCCCTATTGAAAATTACTTGTAATTTCTTTGTATATCAACACATTTGTATGAAACAAAATATATTGTGATATTTAAAATGGTAGAATTTCGTGGCTGATTCCTGTTTTTATTTCACAGTTTCAGAGAGGGCATAAGCGTGGACAGCTAGCAGCCGGTTACGAAGTGTGTCAGTCCGTGGTACAAGAGCAAGGATTGGTGGCGCGGTGTTCATGGACCTCATGCTTCAGTAAATGCAAAAAATCATTTGTTCATCCCAAACTGGTGAATACGGGATCCGTGGTCGATCCTTAAAGAAGCAGTCATCCTTCACCATCCAGACTGAAAAAAAAAAAAAACGTGCAAAAGTTACAGAAAATGTTCGAGGCGATTACAAACACTGGCGGACAACGCTGGGACTTATGTAGAATTTTTTACACACGCTACTGTATTTCTATTGTTATGCAGTTAAACAGTTAATAGAGTTAATACATTATAACAACATTATTAAATACCTTTAAATATACATAACGTAACATATATTTTATGCAATTCACCACACTACATTAGATGTTTTTTATAAACAAATATCTCGGATGTTTAGCATCTACTTGAGAGATGAAGACGCCATATGGGTGTGTCATTGTGAAACGTAATCTGTATGGCTGGAAAATTGTGTCACATGACGATGATAAATACAGGGTGGCCACTGAAAGACTAAATGATATGAAACAAAAATAGCGCACAATGCACTTCGGTCCTCTTCCCGGAAGATCGCCGACTGATCCAGTTCATTCAAACCGGGAGATTAGGTTCCGAATCATATTATCGCTAGGAGATACTCTGACATTAAAATGTGGCCGATATTTTCTCTGAGTTTGAATAATTGATCTTTCACTGGAATAGAAAAACTCAGTGAGTTTTTACTCGTTGCTGGAAATCATACGTAGCCATTTTAATCTCCCAGAGATGCTCTATAAACTACAGAAAAAAGAAAATAAAAAAGATTGAAAACGAACAAGTTATGACTTTTTCAAACACTTCAGTGGCTACCCTATAGTTTGTCGTCGTTGCATATTTTGAAATAATGTGACGAAGAAACAAGTATATATAATAAAAACATATAATTGTTATTCCGCAAAGATAACCTAGAAAAAATAATGAAACTAAATGCATAAAATAGTTGCTTCTATACTTTGTTATTTTAATAAATATGAATCTCTCTAAGCAGACGATTGTTGTTCGTTTTTGTTTTGCAATGAGCGCTATGTCCTCCCCTTCTGACAAATTAAATATTCTTCGTGGAATCAATATATAAATTGTTAAAACTATTCAATTTATTTCAATGATATAATAATTTTAATTTGTTGAAAATTTTGTCGTTTTTTTCTGTTGTTCTGTCTATCAGGGACTTCATTTTTTTTTTTTACAAATTCTGGAAACCTTTCCATTTATTAATTCATTAGTGCGTTTTATCTAAATAATATTGTATAATCTGAGTAATAATAATTATTACAATAACGTATAATGCAAATACAAATTAAATTATGTGTAATTAATAATAAAATTTATAATATTGTTACCTCATCACTTTGTATCATGAACAGCTTTTAACAGGAACCAGCGGGTTTATGGCGACTCTGGTTATATTCTAAAGTTACCTGATTCGTTCAACTTGGAGGGCTCGAAGATCCTAATCTGGATCTGAAGACTGACTCTCTCCATATAAAATTAAGACTAGATTAAAGTTAAATTTTAAAATAAATGCCTCGCAAATGCAGTACACCTTTTAAAATTAGTCTTGTTATTTTTAAAATCTGAAATGAAGTATTTTTATTTATTAGAAGAAGAAAAACTGAAATTACTTCATTTAAAATCTTTAGACTATACTGGAAGGCTGAAGAATATCTTGGTCAGATGTTGTGTTAAAATATCAAATATAAATCCTACAGTCTATATAATGTTTGCAACTGTATTTTATGTTTATTATAAACTGTTGTAAATATTAAATGCACGTCAGATCGCTAAAAATTATGATAGGAACAGAGTTATCTTTCCTTATTTTACACCCATCTATTCTACCAGCCAATCAGAAGCCAGAAGATGCAATAATAAACTCTTGCTCCAGATGGAGAGTTTATGTCTTAGTAAACATAAAAGTTTCCATCAATGAATGAAGTCGTCTCTTTCTTTAAGATAAGGTGGGCCCTCGTAAGCTCAACTAGCTTGCAATCTCCTCCTTTTCTTCTTGTATATGTTGTTGTTTATAAATCTATTAATTAACTACTTTAGTGTTTGTTCGTTTTTTTGTCTAGAGTTAAATTTCACCCACTTGTCCAAATCAATTCATTCGCACATGAAAATACAAGATTCACAACCGCTGATATTTTCTGTTAAATTGAAAGATGTCGGCAAACGATGCCCAAATTAAGTATTAAAAATAAAAATAAAAATAAAAACGCCCAAAGAATCGAAAATGTAAATGACGTTAACATTTCCGCATCCGGGTATTTGTATTTTTTAAGAAAGAAAGAAAGAAAGAAAGAAAGAAAGAAAGAAAGAAAGAAAGAAAGAAAGAAAGAAAAGAAAAGAAACTTCTATGTTGAATTGAAGCAAGATAAAATAAAATAAAATAAATAAGAGCAATGAAAAACAAAATGTCGTCAAAATCATAATTAATAAAAAATTAATGAAGGACTCTTGGGAATATAGCATGGAATGTACTTTGAGATGAACAGAAAAACCGCTATATATAAAAAATGAATCAAAAACGTATCCATCAAACATATTTTGGGAGAAAAAATTTGCAATGTGGTTGCAAGTTTGTTTACTTTGGTGTGCGTATGACATAGATAAACGTGACGTTTCCGGTGCAAAATGACTTTGTTCAGCTTAGTTTCGCACAGACCCACGGGGCGTTGTTGGAAAGGGTGGTGACGATGGGAAATAGTTCTGTGCCAATTTTCCAAATAGGGAGAGACATTCTTTTTTTCTGATTTCTTTCTTTACTTCCTTTCTTTCGTCTCTTCTCTCTTCACTTTTTTATTTGCATTTTTCTTACATTATTTCATTCTTTCTTTCTTCCTCTTTTTCCTTTTTTTCTTCCTTTTTTTCCTTATCTATTTACTTCCTTCTTTCTACTTTTCATGTTTCTTTCCTTTCTAATTTCATTCTTTTCTTCCTTCTTCCATTATTTCCTTTGTCCTTCTTTTCTTCCTTACACATCTGCTTCTTTCTTTCTTTCTTTCTTTCTTTCTTTCTTTCTTTCCTTCCTTTGCTTCTTTCTTTCTTTCTTTCTTTCTTTCTTTCTGCCCTTCCTTTGCTTCTTTCTTTCTTTCTTTCTTTCTTTCTTTCCTTCCTTTGCTTCTTTCTTCCCTTCCTTTGCTTCTTTCTTTCTTTCTTTCTTTCTTTCTTTCTTTCTTTCTTTCTTTCTGTCATTCCTTTGCTTCTTTCTTTCTTTCTTTCTTTTTCTCAAAATATTACTAATATAGTTTTACCTAGAAAAACAGAATCATAAATATAGCATGAAAATAAACACTGTAAAGAGAAGCTGTTTATCTACCCACCTCTAGGTTTGACACAAGGTCACTATTAACGTGGTGTTCTGTACGCATACATACGGGCGGTGCCAGAACTTGTCAAGTTTCTTTAGCACTTCCTTGTGCGTCAGAGATTGATCCTGACACTCCCTCTTTTCAATGCAATAGGGAAAGTACAACCTGGGTGCGGAGGGAAGGGGACAGAATGAATGACATGTTAAGTGCAATGAGGTAAAATATGTTTTTGATTTCATGATGAAAATTTGGATAAATCCAATGTCTTTTATGGATGTTAGGTAAGGCGCCAAATTCGTTCAGAATTCTCCATACAGTCAGAGCAGTATACCACAGCTTTCTCAGATCAATGGCTATAAATGTAACCTGTAGCTGTTAGAGAATACCATCCTTCTTCTCGTGATCTGACGCTACAGAATCACAAACAATGCCAAATAAAAGAAACCACATAACTTGAAGTCTTTAAACAACAACAACATCTAAAATAGCATATGTAATTCGAAGAGAGAATATGACAGGTCTTGGCTTTCAATACCATTTTCAGTTAAAGGTTAGGAAGGAAATTTACATCTGTACTTGAAAATTCACATCTGTACTAGAAAATTCACATCTGTACTAGAAAATTCACATCTGTACTAGAAATAGCTATAACAGTTAATGAACTTGAGGAAATTATTTTCGTGAAAAATTGTTTTAATAGATTTTATAAATTTCAACAGATATTAGCAGTCTCTCTGTCAGAAAGCTTCCCAGATATTTGAACTTCCGCGTCTGCTTGATTCTAGTGTTCCCGACCCACAAATCGTATTTCGGGCTCATCCTTTTCATGCCTAGTTCTTTCTTCTCAGTTTCCGTCGCTACCTTCTGTAGGAGATTTTGTAATTTCTTTTCCGTGTCTGCTATCAGTACTGTGTCATATGCGTATCTTATGTTGTTAAGATTACGGCCGGCAATGCTAAATCCCGGTTGGGTTTCCAATTCTCTCAGAATTCGTTTTGACAGAGGACGGTAAGTGCGACCCTGAGAACCGTAGACGTATTGGGATGGCTAAGGATGCATTCAAACAGCTAGGCAGAGTATTGCGAGACAGGGGAATTTCTTTGGTAACAAAGAAAAGAATACTGAGCTGTTACGTGACATCTGTCCTTCTTTACGTTTCTGGGACACATAATGAGGAAGGAGGGCCTGGAGAATCTGATACTCACGGGTCGAATATAAAGAGAGACAAGAGAAAGCAGAATGTGACATACCTGACGATTTTGAGCAAGTAGATGACAGAACGTGGTCTGGGGGAGGAGGCAGAGGGAAGGAACTTGCTGAAAACTGCAAGGGATAGTGGGGAGGTGGAGAGCCATGATCGCCTACATCCTGAAAGGACATAGCACATAAAAAGAAAAAAGTTTACTAACAGCCATAGAATGACGGTCTAAATAGTTGTAATAAAAAAAATAACGATAAGGAAAACATTAATAAAAATTCATAACAATTATGAATATTCTATTTCTAATTCACACCATGTGTTGGATGACTTTTATGCTAGTTGCATAATCAATTGATTTTTCAGCTTGTTCCTTAACTGGGAAGGCTCATACTTAACATCAACTGAAGTTTCTGGGGCACATAATGAGGTAGGATGGCCTGGAGAATCTGATACTCACGGGTCGAAGAGAGGGAAAGAGAGACAAAGGAAAACAACGCATGATATACACAGCGAGCTTGAGCAAGTGGATGATGGAACGTGGTCCGGGAGAGATGACAGAGGGAAGGAACTTCTTAAGAGCTGTAAGGGATAGAAGGAGCCATGATCGCCTACGTCCTGAAAGGACATGACACATAAAAAGAAGAATGCCCCGGTCAATGGAGAGCCGACTATTTCCATGTAAGGAAACAAAAAATATGACGACTACCATTACGATACGTCTTTAGCAGGGCCTGTTTCATTTCGAGGGATCTGTTCCAAGCATACGCCATGGTTGATAATGACATAAGGTACCATCAGTATTTGTTTTGCTTTTTCTGCGTGTGTCAGTCCGGAAGTTTAAGTCATTAAAACACATTATTATGCAAGGAAACTAACCCTTAATTAAAAAAACTGAAAATCGTGTAAAAATAAGTCTTCAGTGTCATGGTTAATCTTATGATGTAAATAATTGATCAGAGCATTACTTCATCCTAATCAAATCGTCTCCTCACCTTGTTAATTCAAAGTTTTCTGTATGTCTTTCTATTTATCAAATAATAACCAAGACATGCAAAGTAATGTTTTATCTTGATTTCTAAACATTGGTTGTACACTGCTATATGGCAGCGAGGCTTGGACCACGTGCGCCAGGCAAAAAAGCGTCTGAACACTTTTCACATCTGCCGCATCTTGGGAATAGCGTGCCAAGACAAGATGCCCAACACTGACGTCCTGTCCTGAACAGGTTTGCCCAGCATGTTCACACTGCTCAGACAGCGCAGACTCCGTTGCTTGGGCCACGTCCATCGCATGCCAGACGGCCGCATCCCCAAAGACCTCCTGTATGGACAGCTGGCCGCTGGAAGGAGACCCGTCGGGTGGCCACAACTGCGGTACCGCGATGTCCTGAGGCGCGACATGAAAGCTGTGGACATCAACACAGAGTCCTGAGAGAGGCTGGCAGCTATACAATCCAAACGGAGAGGAACCCTGACCAAACCTCAAGTCAGCGGAGGTGGGGGGGAGAATCTGACACAAGTCGCCACGAAAAGGCGGGCTCGAAGAAAGCAAAGTGACAGCTCCAACAGACCAGATACAGAACATACATGCGACCTCTACAACATAAATTGTCACTCCAGCATCGGCCTCTACAGTCACAGACTTCGATGCTCCAGCCAAGTAGACAACTAGGAGATGTAGCTCTACAGAAGGACACTAAGGATATCATGGACCGAGCGTGTGAGCAACGATGAAAGTCTTAGAGAAAATGCAAACAAGGAGTAGGCTTATACTGAACATCAGGAAGAGACAGCTGAAGTTTCTAGGGCACATAATGAAGAAGAAGGGCCTGGAGAATCTGATACTCACGGGTCGAAGAGAGGGGAAGAGAGACAAAGGAAAACAACGCATGATATACATAGCGGGCTTGAGCAAGTGAATGATAGAACGTGGTCTGAGAGAGATGGCAGTATTGACCCTGGATCAATACTGACCGACAAAGGCCTACAACAAGGTTGCCACCTTATATTTTTATTCGTATTTGTCACTTGGCTTACATCTTTTCTCTATTTTCTATACAAGTAGTTCTGTTTTTACAGAGGGGACTCTTTATCCTGCTAACTATTACCATAACACCGTTGGATACTATATTGGTCAGAGATAACTCTTCCTAGACATCTGAACTTGATTGTATGATTTGTTGGCCGGCAGCAGTCTTTTCGGACAATCATGGTTAAAACGCTGCTAAAACTGTTTTTTTGCCACTTATCTTTCTGGTGTTTCAAAATTGTTTCAAGTCTGATTTCTTCCTCTCCTCTTATTTATTTTTTGCATTTTCATCGATGCAAATACAAAACAAGGCTAGTTTAATATTGGGTCACATACACGTATACTTGAACAAAGACAAAAATTGCCCGGTATTAACAAAATCTTGCTGATGAGGATTTTGCCATTTTATGACTATTTTTTTTAATTCCCCTATTTAACTTAAAGGTCATTTGAAATTTCGAAGCACAGAGAAACAATTTTAATAATGATAAAAAAGGGGTTTGAAAGATTGTTTGGTAGCATCATATTTCTGACGAGCTGATAGCGATGTATGTTGTTAAATCTAGATAAAAACCAGAATTTTGAAGACCGGCAAACATTCGCCATTCGAAAAATGAATGCTTCCCAATCTTCCTGCTTTCAATCATCCTCAATTCGAATTTATACCAGATCAAAACTTGTAGCGGCAATAAAATGTTCAGGGTTGTACTTCATTTAGAGTATTGAAATATATCTTGAATTTTACTCTGCTGATAGGATTTTTAAATAAATCAGCGACATTTTGTCCTGACAAAATATAGTCCTACTTTACTGTGCAGTTTTGAACATCAGTCCTTATGAAATTATACTTTATATCATTATCTTTAGAACGTTGATGTTGAACAGGATAATTAGCTAAAGCTATAGTTCCTTGTTTGTTACAACAGACAGTGGTATGTTTATTTGCATTTGAATTCGTCAAAGTATTTAAAATAACTGGATAAGGAATTTTGCTTCACGTATTGTGGCAGCTTATGCCATATATTTCGCTTCGAATGTTGACAATGCTACTCTAAGTTGTTTACTTGTTTTCCAAGAAATTATAGAACTATTTAACGATGAGAAGATTGTTGGTCCAACCACTGGAAAATATCTGTTAAAAATTCCCACTTCCCTAAACTGATAGACAAATCTTACAGATGCATGCTGGGATTTTTTTCCTAACCTATAAAAACTGTATCTTTTGTGTGTGCAAATCGCATTCTAACTTTGTGAACTGTTTTCCTTGTTATTATTGCTTTGCCTGCTAGTATCTTTCATTTTTTTCCCTTGTTCTATTTATTCCTTTTCTTATTGTTTATTGGAAACTGTCAGTTCTGTTTATTGGGCCTTTTTTCTACTTATACTTAGCTATGGCCAATTACTCTACAGAAATTTCTGGAACGTCTAATGAGGAAAGAAGTTTGACAATCACAGGGCATACTGAAGCCAAGAAAAAAAAAAGTGAAAACAGCTTGTGAACTACTTAATGAGACTGTGTGAATGTTGCTTTTCTAAGCGCAGCTTGGATATAACACAAAGTTGAAAGTATGAGGCACCTAGTGAGGATCGAACTCACTACTCAGTCGCAATTGTTCTAGTGAGGCAAGCTTTCTGAGCATTACACTACGTCGAGGTGCCCAGAGATTGGGTCAATGGTTTACCAGAACAATGATACAAATTTGGATGGTCAAGGTTATTTACCTCACCTCCCCG